CACACCTCGCGCTTTTGGGGGCTTCCTGGCTGTGCCCTTCCCGGGTGGTGTTTGTGGCCTCTATCTCCTCATACTCGATGTGTGACTGAGCCATGTGGAGGAGGGCGTTCAAGGTAAGGGGGCATGTGAGGCCGACGGCTTTGGCGAAGTCAGAGTACGGCCTTATGCCCCTCTAGATCAGAAATTTCTTCATGTCGTCCGTCGTGGACACCTGGACGGCCTCGCGATTGAACCTCTCAATGTAATCTCTAAGAGGCTCGTTCTTCCCCTGAAAAAAGGCATTCAGGACCGCCACTATCTTCGGATGGCGACGGGACGTTGTGAAGTGCCTGGAGAACTGGCCCTTCACTTCGCCCCATGACGCGATGGAGTCGGGCGCAAGGCGCTTGTACCACGCCATGGCCCCCTTCCTCAAGGTGGTGGGGAATATTCTGCACTTGATAGCTCCACGAACGTTTCTGTAGTCCAGCATCGCGTCTATGCTTTTGATGTGTTCGTCTGGTCGGTCGCCCCATCGTAGGTTGCCAAGATTGGGGGGTTTTCCATCCCGGCAAGCAACGATGCTTCCCTGATGGCTCTACACAGTGGTGAGCGTCGGGTATCTTCGTCGCTCCGGATGGGTGACGGCGAGGGGGAGGCTGAGGCCAGGCGGTTTCGTCATCGGTGTGGGCTTTTCGGCTGGGCCCTCGGTCTGGAGGAGGTTGCAGCTGCTTTGTTCTTCTTCGGAGCCAAGAGCGTCGCTCTTCTCGAGGAAGGGACCTGTCCCTGTTGTGAGAAAGCACCGAATGGGGTCGTTCAAGGCGGGGAGGCGCCCTGCCGGTCGGGGCGATGGGCTTCTAGAGTCCTCCACGTGTCGTGTCTGCCGTGAAGGAGGCGAGGGACTTAGGAAATCCTGGTGACTGTGTCTCTGCAGGGAAAGAGGTTGACAGAGTGTCGTCGATCGTGTCTCTGTGGCGGAGGAGACAGACTGGGAGAAACTGGGCGACGGTGTCTCTGCGAGGGAGAGCGCGACGGTTGTTCTCTCTCGAGCAACCTTATCCGTTCGTTCTTCCCGAATATCATCAGGTTGGTTTGATTGATCGCCGCGAACAGGGTTGTGACAGTAGGGTCGGTGCCCGACGGAGCCAGAACGGGCTAGTAGACAGTCGGGTTGTCTAAGCGTTGGACGGTGTTGAAGGTCGCGTCTTCTGAGAATGGGGAGGCGGTGCGCCCGTCCCTGTGGTCACCTTCCTCGTTGTGGACGACCGTGTTGGGGTTGTGGCCGTCCCCATTGGGAAAGGGGGTAACGGCAGATCCTGAGGCGTTGTTATTGCGTGGGATGGCCATGATTGGAATGGAAGTTGAAGGTTGATTTTGCTTTGGTTCTTGAGCTTCAGTGCTCGGACAGGAGAAAGAACGGGGAAGCTAAAGTTCCCACAGACGGCGTCACTGATCTCACCTTATCAGAAAGGATTAATGGCCTGTCACGCATCGTTGGATTGCTGCTTTCACCAGAGTTAGGGAGAAAGAGGGGGTGTACCTGCAAGGCACACTGATGCTTAAGTGAGTAAAGGATTAAAGTGGGAGAGAAAATACAGAGAAGTAAGTGTAGAGAATAAGATATATGGCCCTCTAGTGAAAGAGGATATTTATAGAGAGACCCCAACGCAGGGCCAACTGTTACTTGCATTGGGCCAGATTGTCAGACCCAACTCAAGTGACTGCCAGAGTTTACGTGGCGTAGTGAAGGCCAACACGTGATTTTCACCCTAGATCAACTGCCCCGTGATCTTGGAAGATGGGCTGACCAACTCTTTCGGAGGTCGGTAGTTTCCTGATGATGTGTCCCTGCATGGGAGAACACATGGAGAACGTGAGGGAAATGTGTGAGTCTCCTCGTCAAGGGAGTCGTCTGCCCGACATATAGTGCTCGTGCCCGACCTGGGAGGATTGGGCCTCATTGGGCCTCCCCAATGTAGTGTTGGGTTAGGCATGCCCGATTGATGGGCAGGTCCCGGCCCAGTCCATAACACCTTCTATTAGATAAAAGAAATAAATTAATTATCAATTTTATTCTATTATAGATCCTTAACCTCTCGGACTCTCTTGTTTATTCTTAGTTCTGGTTATTTTTCAACAATCAGTGACGAACTCTCGATTTGTGTTTCAACTATCCAAAGAGAACCTTCCTCACAAGGTTCTCTGTTTATGGGAACATCAAATTTCATATCCTTCATAATGAGGTTCGCAAAGAATTTTACATCTTAGGATTCAATAGTTAGATTAGACTCCAAATACAAAAGTCTATATGTTTACAATTAGATGTATAGCCTACAAAAACATATTTGATCTCACGATGATCCAACTTGTTTCTTTTAGGGTCCATGTTCTTATAATAAGCTACACACTCACACTCTCTAAAATAACTAATTAATATTAAAGTTTGAAACATATCAGTCATTTTAGAGGGTGTGAGTGCGTAGCTTATTATATGAATTAATCACAAATAAAAGATCTTCATGACAATTAGGAAGAAGAAGATCTTGTCTTGGTTCATCACTTTTATGCTTGAAACTTACGCCTTGGTTGCCATTATATGAACAACTTATAATATTGTTAGAAAATTAATTTAAATTAAATGGATTGAGACTAGAATCGTGAACGAAATCACTTTCCTTATAAGTATTTCAAGTACTCTCAAATGTCTTAGAGTTTGAACGTATGAATACGCTGGATAATTCAGTCTATACTCGAGTTTGCACAAGACCGATGAAAACTCGAATATAGAGAAGATTATATTTAAAATTGTGTGAAGGGGATAGGTTTTTGTGTTGTATTTTCTAGAATGCGGAATGCTCAATTTATGGGTCAAAGTAGTGTTGTATCACAAGGTTGCGACCTTTGATGAAACACTTTGAGCAACACTTTTGTCAAATGTTGTATTGTTTCGCATACAACAATTTTACCAAATGTTGCACTGTTTCGCCTATAGCAGCATTTTTACCAAATTTTGCATTATTTCACCTACAACAACAATTTTCAAAGGTTGTACTATTTCGCATTCTGCAACACTTCACGAAGTGTTGCCTATTTTTGAATTCAAAATATAAACTGCCTACTGCAGCACTTCACAAGTCTCGCTTATTTCCAAATTAAAAAATTAACATTCACTTGCATAATTTCTTTTTTTTAACACACTCAAGATTATTAATTGTTAATAATTTACAATATTGAAAACTATGATCGTCATGCACAGTCAACATGCAATCATAGCAAAGTTTGAGTTTAATCCTACATTACTCCGTGAATTGAAAGAACATAAATTCGCATGATGGCACGATGAAGATGCACAACAATAGGCTTTATTTCATGAGATCGGTTACATTAATCAATTTCTATAATTATGTTCTATCTATTATTATGCTTTTATCTAAATTGTTAATCTCGAAATCTTTTTTAATAACTTATCTTATTAATACATCCTCTATATCTAATTTACTCTATTGAAAAAAACTCAAGTCTCACATTAATTAAATATACAATGTATAAAGGGTTTATATAGAGAGAGGCATCTCTCAACTTACCAACCGGTTTTATAAGGTTGAGTTAGGCCAAACTCTAATTTTATCATGATATTAGAGCCTATCGATTTGAGTTATCCACTATTTATGCGCACCAAGCCCAAAAATTAATGGACGTGAGGGGTGTATTGGAAAAAACTCAAGTTCCACATTGGTTAAAGATACAATTTATAAAGGATTTATATAGAGAGGCACCATTCACCTTACCAACCAATTTTGTTAGGTTGAGTTAGGTCAAACTCTAATTCTATCATACTCTACTTGCCACATAATAATCTACAAGTCTTCTCTCTAAATATCCAAACTATCAAAGTTTATTTTTCTTTTTTTTTTTACTATATATGTTATCCCAACACTTTCTCTAATATTATCATTTATAATTTTATCATGTCTAGTCTTACTACACATCTGACACAACATCCTCTTCTCTACTATACTTATTTTATTCTCATATTGATTCTTAAGCACCCAATATTTTATCTCATACAACATAACAGGTCTTATCGCAATCCAATAAAAATTTTCCTTCAATTTGAATAGTATTTTTGTCATATAAAATCCCTAAAACTCTCCTCCATTTCAATCATCAAGTTTGAATTTGATGTTGTACACCCCCTTCTATTTCTCCATCGTTTTGCATTATGAACCCAAAATATTTCAATAGCATAACTTGTAGAACAATATGATCCCCAACTTTCACCTCTAAGTTAGAAAAACTTCTATTGCTAAACTTACTCCTACTATTGAACTTACATTTAATATATTTTGTTTTATTTTTGCTTAACGAAAATAATGTGTTTCTAAAACTCATCTCCAAGTCTCCAACCTCCCAATTAAATCCTCCTTCAACTCTCCATATATGACTATATCATCTAAAAAAAAAACATTCATCTCAACGCTACCTCTTGGATTTTTTCCATGAGTACATCCAAAATTAAAATTAACCGCATTTGTGTATTCCCTTCATACTCTTTTTATAAGCAAATTTTGACTTCCTAAATTTATTGAATAAATGATGTATTTAGACTGTATATAGGTTAGATACATTAACTATTTAATGAATCTAAAATGTTAAAATTTGCTTATAAATAGAAATGGAGGGAGTACCTTATTAAAATTTACCCTCTTCTCTGCATTGGATACGTTAATTTAATCAAAGGATAGAACTTTACGTGGCCAGAATTTAGTCAAAGATAGAACCCTATTTTGCCATTTGGTTAAATCCTGAATCGAAGGAATCATTCAGTGTTTCGAAACAAGTTTAATCAACATCCCCTCTCCCAAAAAAAAGGTTTGGATCAAAAGTCCAAACTGACAAAAACTATCCCAAAAAAACTGATACACAATCTTCAACTTGGTTTTCTTCTTGGCACTGGATGCATTCCTTTGCTCTATGCAACAAAGACATCACAAGGCCAAAGACATAGACTGACCAATGAATTACTGGCTGACCCTCCCAAAAAAGTGTTCAATCTGCAGGCACCCCCTGGATTGCATACCACTTGCTTTATTAGGTCCAACCTTCAACCTTTTTGAAGCTACTGAATTTTCCTTAACTTCCTGCAAACAAAAAACTTCTCAAGTTAGTTACAAATTTAAACAAAATCAGTAAATTAATGCATAAACAACCTACTAAGATAGTGAAGATACTAATGCTGGTACTTAAAATTTATACACTTGCAGTTGCATTAAAATTGAACTCTTCAACAAAAGTACATAACTTACCGAGAAGGGTTGGCTTGGATTTCTTAGAACTTTGACTTTGCCGCCTCTACCGTCAGCTCCTACTGATATCAAATTCCCTTTTGTGGATTCACCATTTTGTCCACGCTTGCACCATTTACCCAAGAATCGTTGAGATCCATCAGGACCAAGCAATCCACCAGAAAAGCAGATGTCCACTGGAGGTGAAGGAGAATGAAAAAATTCAATTTCAAGTTTTTATATGTTTCATAATAAGTTTTTTGGATAGATTTATTTGAGTTTATCTAGTAGCATGTGTACGTGTGAAATACAACCAAATGGATGTTGATCAAAAACATCTCTTGACATGTTTGTAAGTTAAGTTGTTGGCAGTTTATTTTCATTAGCTCTCTAGAATAGCTTATGAAAACAATTTGACTTAATTTTATCTTGTGTTATAAATAGCTTATATATAAGCATTTTTAAGATATGTGCTTATACTATCAGTTCTTAATGAAAATGTTTATCCGGAGGAGGACGAAATCTACACGGAAAGAGCTCCTAAATTGGTATCAATGGTGGGAGGAACAAGCACCCTTGAGGACGTGGGAGGAGTTCAAAACAGCTGTGATGAGGAGATTCCAACCTGGGCTCTTACACAATCCTTTAGGACCCTTGTTGAGTTTCAAACAAAAGGAGTCAGTGGTGGAATATAGGAAGAAATTTGAGATGATGGTAGCACCATTAAGAAGGGAAGAAAGAGTCATGCTGGACTCAATTTTTCTGAATGGTTTGAAAGATGAGATTCAAGCTGAACTGAAGCTCCATGAGAGCCAAGATTTGGCTGAGTTGATGGATAGAGCTTTGCTCATTGAAGAAAAGAATGAAGTGGTGCAAAAGAAGGTTAGTTCTTGGAGAGAAAGGGGAGGAAATCTAAGGATCAAAGATCCTGGAGATATAGGAGGGTATAAGAAGGAGGGTGAAAGGGCAAGTGGTGGAGGAAATGAGAAGTATAAGAGCGAGAAATTGGATCCAGCAGAATTAGAAGAAAGGAGTAAGAAAGGACTTTGTTTCAAATGTGGGGATAAGTGGAATAGAGAGCATCTTTGCAAATTCAAACACATGAGTTTGAAATTATGTGAACACAGTAGTGAGGAGGAGGAAATAGGAGGGATTGGAATACAAACAGAAGAATGGGAGAAAGAAGGGGAGGAATTTAAGACTTTGCAACTATCGATGCAAAGTAAAGAGGGGTTTACTTCCAACAAATCTTTTAAAGTGTGGGTGACTGTGGAGGGGAGAGAGTTGCTAACTTTGATTGATTCTGAAGCTACTAGCAACTTTATTAACCCCAATATTGTGGCTGAATTAGCTGTGAAGGTAGTTGAAACTCCAACCTATGTAATAGAAGTGGGAAATGGAGAAAGAGTTGTCAACAAGGGATTTGTGAAGGGTTGAAATTCCTTAGGCAAGGAGTGGAATTTAGTCAACATTTCTTCTTGATGAAGTCGGGAGGGACAGACATGGTGCTAGGGATGGATTGGTTGGTAAGTTTAGGAAATATTGCAGTCAATTTTGGAGAACTCAATTTGAAGTGAGAAAAAGATGGAAGGAAGTTTAGTATCAAGGGAGATCCAGCTCTATGTATCAGACAAGCATCATGGAAAGCCATGGTCAAGGCCATTAGTGATGAACGGGTGGGATTTTTTGTTCACTCAAGAGGGGCAGAGGTGGTGAACCATCCAATGGAGGAGGATGGTTGGGAAGAGTTGTTGAGTTCTTTCAAGGAGGTGTTTAATCTACCAGCTGGACTTCCCCCTATAAGGGAGCATGACCATGCAATTACCCTCAAACTTGAAGCTGCTATTCCTAATTTGAGGCCTTACAGGTACCCTTTTTATCAGAAGAATGAGATTGAGAAGATAGTGAGGAAAATGCTCCAAGCAGGAATTATCAGGCATAGCACCAGTCCTTTCTCCAGCCCTGTTCTTTTAGTGAGAAAAAAAAAAGATGGTAGATGGATGAACTGTTGGATGAATTAGGGGGAGCTATGATTTTTTCCGAACTGGACTTAAAATCAGGCTATCATCAAATTAGGATGAATGAGGGAGACATAGCCAAGACAGCATTTAGAACCCATGAAGGTCACTATGAATATTTAGTGATGCCTTTTGGATTAACTAATGCTCCTTCAACATTTCAAGCCTTGATGAATGAAGTATTGAGGCCCTTCCTAAGGAAATTCTGTTTGGTTTTCTTTGATGACATCTTGGTGTACAACAGAAGTAAAGAAGAACACTTGAAGCATTTGAAGTGGGTTTTACAAGTCCTTTTTGACCAGAAGCTGTTTGCAAACAAAAAGAAATGCTCTTTTGGAAAGGAGGAGAATAAATACTTGGGACATACCATATCAGGCAATGGTGTATCAGCTGATCCTAAGAAGGTAGAAGACATGCTGAAATGGCTTGTCCCTCAGAATGTAAAGGGGTTAAGAGGATTCTTGGGGTTAACAAGGTATTACAGAAAGTTTGTAAGGAATTATAGGAAGATTGCTTGGCCTCTTACTCAGTTACTCAAGAAGGATAACTTTGTGTGGAATAATGAAGCTCAAGCAGCTTTTAAAGAACTCAAGGTTACCATGACACTGTCCCAGTTCTAACTATGCCAGATTTTGAAAAAGAGTTTATTGTGGAGACTGATGTTTCAGGGAAGGGAATAGGGGTTGTCTTAATGCAAGGAAGGAGACCTATATCTTATGAGTCAGACTTTATCTGACAGGGATCAGAAAAAATCAATCTATAAGAGGGAGTTAATGGCTATTGTTATGGCTACACACAAGTGGAGGCCCTATTTATTGGGCAGACATTTTAAGGTGCATACTGACCAAAAGAGCCTAAAATTCCTCATTGAGCAGAAGGTTATGGGGGAGGAGCAACAAAAATATTTATCTAAGTTGTTGGGATTCGATTTTGAAGTTAAATATAAGCCAGGAAGGGAGAACAATGCTGCAGATTCCTTATCTAGACAAATGATGTATAATCACCTCACCACCAGGCAATGTGAAGCTTGGGAAGGTTTAGAAGAGGAAATACAACAGGATGGTAAGTTAAAGGCTATAGTGCAAGCCCTGTTGATAGATCCTGCTAGCCATGAAGGGTTCTACATGAAAGGAGGAGATTGTACCATGAAGGGAGAATAGTGATTCCAAAACAATCCCCAAGGATTGCTTGGATACTTAATGAGTTTCATGATACAGCTTTAGAAGGACATTCTGGCCAGTTGAGAACTTATAAGAGAATTGCAAGTGTGGTTTACTGGGAAAGAATGAGGAAGAAGATTCAAGAATATGTGCAATCTTATTAAGTGTGCCAGAGAAACAAATATGAAACATTGAGCCCTGGGGGGATTACTCCAACCCTTGCCTATTCCAGCCCAGACCTGGAGTGACATTTCTATGGATTTTATTGGAGGGTTACCTAGAGCCCATGGAGTGGATACAGTCCTGGTAGTGGTGGATAGGTTAACCAAATATGCCCACTTTCTACCCCTTAGTCACCCTTACACAGCTAAAGAAGTTATTGATATTTTTATTCAAGAATTGGTGAGGTTGCATGGATTCCCTAGTTCTATAGTCTCTGACAGAGACAAAGTCTTCATGAGCCAGTTCTGGTCAGAATTATTCAAACAGACAGGTACCAAGTTGAAATACAGCAGTACTTACCATCCTTAATCTGATGGGCAAACTGAAGTGGTGAATAGATGTTTGGAGACCTATTTAAGATATGTAACAGGCCTGAAACCAAGACAATGGCCCAAGTGGATGGCTTGGGAAGAGCATAGGTACAATACAAATTATCATGCCTCGCTAAGGACTACACCTTTTGAAGCTCTTTATGGGAGAGCTCCCCCTGTGTTAGTCAGAGGAGATAATCCTCCATCAGCAGTAGATGAGGTGAATAGATTAAATGCTGAGAGGAATTTAGTGTTGAAGGAACTGAAGGAACAATTGCTTAAGGCTCAGGATTTAATGAGAAATCAGGCCTATAAGCATAGAAGGGAGGTGGAATATGAGATGGGAGATCAAGTTTTCTTGAAGATCCAGCTTTACAAGATGAAGAAGTTGGCCAAAAGGATGAACCAGAAACTCAGTCCTAGGTATTATGGCCCATTTGAAGTGATCCGAAAGATAGATAGGTGTAGTGGCTTACAAGCTGAAACTACCTGAGGATTCTAGAGTACACCCAGTGTTTCATGCATCCTTGTTAAAGAAAGTTGTATCACCTGCTGTGGCACCTCAACCTCTGCCAGCATGCATGAATGAGGAATGGTACTTGGAACCAACACCTGATAAGGCAGTAGAATACAAACAGGGAGAGCAAGGTGGGGTAGAGGTGTTGGTAAAATGGAAAAATCTGCCCAACTTTGAAAATTCCTGGGAGTTGGTTGAGAAAATGAGGGCAGAATTTCCTACTTTTCTCCTTGAGGACAAGGAGAGTCTTGAAGGGGGGAGAGTTGGTAGATATGGAAAAGTATATCAAAGAAAACATAAGAAAGGAAGAGAGAGAGTAATAGAATAGTACAATTTTTGCTAGCTGTATTAGCACATGGGTGGGACAACTGGCTTTTGGTGAATGGAGAGAGAATCTAGGGATTTTCCAATAAATGATTGGTGGCTGACACCAATGAGGATATGCAGAATTTTATTGGATAAGATCTAGTGGAGAGAATAGGCCTCTCTAAGAGCCTCCTTATTCCTGTGCTTATTTTTTCTCTGCAAAATTCTGTTCTTATCTAAATGACTAAGATCCTTTGATCCCTAGTCTTTTTTTCAATAAAGTTCCTAACTCTCCTACTGTTTATTATCATTTCTGTTTTTTCTATCTTGTTCCTCTGCTGTTTTACTTTTAGATACTAAATTGAACCTATCATAATATCAGTTCTTAATGAAAATGTTTATCCGGAGGAGGACGAAAAATATGCACGGTTTGTATATAAACAATATAACGATAAATATGCACACTTTTAGAGTCAACTAGTGGCATACCTGAACTTGAAGTTGTTAATGGTGATTCCTTTCTAATGTTAACCATTGGTTGAGCTTGTTTAGCATCGGCATGTAATGTCACATCGTTATCCATAGTGGCAATATCAGCAGTAATGTCAGCCATTTCTGTGTCAATATCATATCTTGAAGAGTCATCCAAATTACATATTCCTTGCAATGATGTTTTAGTCTTTGAGACAGGTGCCGTTTCTTGCTTTCCTAGATCAACCTTGTTATGATATTTGTATTCATTTTCATCGATAATGATACAGTCTACCTCTTTATCAAGAGGCAAGGTAGTTTTACTTCCATAACTAATATTCACATTCTTATTGTGTGTAGCTTTGGAGTTATCTATCTTCAAAGATTGTAAAGATTGGTTGTTGTCGTTCTTATTCAGATCCGTTCCAGACTTGGGTGTTGAACTCTGTTTGGTTTGCTCTTTTGAGGAAAATTTACAAGCCATCAATACATCTGAATTAGAATTGATGTTATTTTCAGAATTCTTGGCAACTTTTAGTTGCTTCAAATATTCATTCTCTTTTACTTCCATTGCTGTATCTAGTTCTTGTAACCGTGCCTAGCAGTGCCAACAAAAGTTTAAGAGTTAATGTCATGCACACCGACTAAAAACATCATTGATGCATTGATTCCTTTGATTAAATCATCAAACAGAATACTTACCTTCATTTTATTGATCTTCTCTTTAGCCTTCTCAAGCTTTTTACTATATCGAGCCTCACCTCTTCCGAGAAGATTACACTTGGCCATTAACTCTTTGTAACTCCTACAATAGTAGGTGCAATCACAGTTTACATTCCAAGGCAAGCCATAGAAAATTTAAGTCAAAGTTTTATTTGAAGGGCTAAACGTGAGATTTCAAAATCATACAGAAATTTTAGATAGCCCAACTCCAATGATGCCAAATAACTATTTCAAAATATTGTTTTGTGCACAAATCAAAATTTGGAAGATTAACCTGTTTCGCAGGACAAGAGATCTTTTCAAAGTGTCTACTGTTTCTTTACTGTTGGCTCCGTTACCCAAAGTGGCAAGCTTCAAAACCTCGTCTTCGCCAAGGTCCAAATCAGACACTCTACAGTGAAAACGATGCTAAAAATCAAACGTGTTTAATGATTTGGTGACTGTGATTTATTGATAGTGTAGTAAATTAAATCTATAAATATTATATCATAAGCAAATTATAGATACTCAATCAAAATGCAGCTCCACTCACAATTTCAATGCTGCAAGTTCTTTAGCCAAAGCCATATTTCTCTCTTGCAATCTAAAACGCTCCAAATTTGACTTCTCAAGCTCCTAATCCAACATGAAATCAACAAAAGTTAAAGTGAGCTGCAAATTGCCAATTTATCACAAAATAACAGAAGGTTACAGGGTAATTTACCGTTGATTTCTCACGAAACTGGAGTTGTATGGACGCATTTTGCCTCAAGGCTTCATTTTTTGATGCTATTTCTATCCTTCTCTGCTCCTTGCAAGTAGATAGCTGAAAGAATACCATTGCCACAAGTTTTTTCAAAAAAATATCAGTAAATATGAAAGACAGTTTATATCCAATCACTATTATTAATATAAAAAGACAGTAAATATGAAAATGTTTATGGAGATAGAGCCCTATGAAGCACGGACACCTCTAGGAGTAGGCATGCCACGGTGTCCGACACGTATCAGTGTTAAACACTAGTATGACACTTGTCTGAAAAGTCAAACAACCATTTGATGATAACAACTAATAATCAATCTGAATGAAAATATATACATTTTATTGAAAAGAAATGAATCACATGGAACCAGACTGAATCTCATCACTTACTCACCCACTCATTTCTATTAATCCAAAGCTCAAGCCGCCACATATTGAGGCACTGGTGGGTTAGGAAGCGTTGTGAGCAGTAAGAGGCTAAATGGCAAGGATCTTAAGAGACATTCACACAATGATTTAATCCAAAAAAACTTAAGGCTTTAGGGGGTGATGTGGTGTCAAATATGTCAAGGTCTCTTCATTATTTTTTCATTATTCGATTTCGAGTGACATTTGTTGTCTTCTCAAATATCAATATAGTATATCTATGTATTTTAATTTCTTCGTTATTGTATCTTAACATTGTTTTTTATTTTTTTAACCTTTTATAGTGACATTTTGTTGTGAATCTAACAATTTAGTTCTCTACACATATATGTTATAGAAAACTCTTACTTTTTATCAACGTACCCTGCCTTGATTTTTTTAAAATGGCGTATACGTACCGGTATTAAAAGTCGCACTGGGTACCGTACCCGTATTTATGCATCATAGATTATACATAATAGCTAAAGAACCTAAAGTGTAGAGTCATAAAAACAGAGAAGGAGAATAAAACAAAATTAAACTAAAAATAGGAAGAAGAGAGGTGATAGAAGGTAGAGAAGATGAACAAGTGTTCATCATTGAAGAACGAAAGAGAGAGAGAAAACTGTTATTGATTATGAATAATAGAAGAAGTCAGTTACAACTGTTATCTAATCATGTTTATAAGCTAGCTGAGTACACTGAGTATAACAAACTCAGTGCCAGCTCAGCAAGGTTGTTAAAACAGCTTAACAACTTTCTCACTAGTCCTGTACCAAATGCAACTTACTTTTGTATATTTATACAAAGGAGACATTTTGATAAAACATTATGGCGAAAGTTGATCCATGTAGTTGATTCCACCTAGTGGAATAAGGCTTAGTAGTTGTTGTTGTAAAGCATAAGGCTAACTAGTATACTCTAATAAGAGAAACCATTATTTGTATGCAATAACATAATATTACTCTTCAAAGGATTCAGATTGAAATTTATACCCTTAAAAAAAGACAATTGTTTTAAAAAGAAGAATTTGAGGAAATTATCCCCAAAATTCTAATAGTGGATGCAATAGCGGTTGCAACAGCGGTTTGGACAGAAATTATCAGTTGCTAAAATTGCTATTGTTGACAGTGGCTTGCGGACCAATAGCGTCGCGCCGAGCCCTATTACTGCTATTGTTGACAGAAGCTCACTGGCCAATAGTATCGGTAGTAGCGATGAACGAAATATTTGGGACCACTAAGAAACTTTGACACCACATCTCCATTCAAAACTTAAACTTTAAAACATTAGGTACCAATGCCCTTATTGTCTAACACTTCTCCCATTTCTAGACAATGTGAGACTAATCACTCACTTGAATTACAATGAGAGGTTATTATTAAGTTGTTAAATTCAATTGCAACTTAAAATAACAAGTCACTGAAAAAAAGCATGAATCTTGAATTTCTTTATACAATTTTTTTGGTATGATTATAGTTAAGGGTAGTAAAACGAGTCAGGCCCGCCAGGCATGCCAAGTTTGCCCATATTTTTTTGTGAGACCGGTCAAAGTTTTAGCCTCACACCCTCTAATATCATCGTTCCACATCCACCCTTTTTTTTTGTTTTTGCAGGCGCAAGCATTGACATAAATTTTTGCAATTTTTAGACGTTCAACGTGAAATTCCCGCGGGTCCACCCCGCCCTCATTCTTTTTGAGGGGCGAGCCAAGGTTTTATGTTTAGCCCTCAACAATGCCCACCTCGCCCCTTTTTTTTCAGGTTTTTACCGGACAAACATGCTCGTTTACCACCCGTAAATGTAGTATCTTCTACAAGCAACCGCATAAACTAATTTCTCAAACCCAGTAGAGTCATAAAAACAGAAAAGCTCGGTCTCAAAAGTTTTAACGCTACTATATGTCGAAGCTGAATTCCAACTAAAGACCATCAGTTGGCCTTTATCCTATCATTCAATGACTCTAGGGTATTTTTTCTACATTTAGAATCATAAGCAATTTAACCATTTAGGCAACTATTAACTCAAGCCCAAGACTTAGGACAGTGTTGTTCCCGTTGTTCTCTACTAAAGTAACATAACCGTCACCATCATTTTTTTAAGGTTGTGCAAAAAATACCTCTTTGTGAGAAGAACATTAAGATAAGTGATTATAGCATTGTATCTAGGTTTACTCCTTAACTCAACTGTAGTAAAAAAATCACTCTTACAGAAACATTAGCAATAAGAATTCCCTTTTAAAACAAAACCTGAATATTATTCTCTTTTTTAATCCCAAATTTACCCTTTTCAAACAAAATGAACCACCCTATTTATCCAACAAATTAACCTAAACAAAAAACACCCAAAAATAAAATATTCTAGAAATTGGAAAATACCTCATCTTTAAGTTCATCTAACTCCTTAGTTTGATTTTCCAAAACCGTACTAAGCCCCGAAACTTTTCCCTCCAATCTCTTAACCTCCTTTCTCAAAACACCGGCATCTTCCTCGACACCCCTTTGCTTCTGAGTAAGACCAGCTCCGTGCGCATCTCCAATTGATTGAAAATAAAGCCGACACGCATCTTTCACCTTGCAACCTTGCTTGCAAACTGGACAAGTACGTTTCTTCGATGTCTCACAGTACTCGAACCATTGCTGCAAACTACACAAAATCATACAAACCCACATGGAGAAAGAGGTAAAGAACGGAATTTTTAGGGTTTTGTATTCGATTAACGGAGGGATTCAGGAGGGTTGTGAGAGATTTACCAGAGCTCGTGGAAGACGTGGCCGCAGATGGTGACTGATTGGAGATCTTCGGTGATGGGGTTTAGACTTTCGTAGCAGATTGAACAAATGGTGCCGGCGAATTCGCCGCTATCCACCATATCTTGCAGTGTTTTTGTTTTTCCTATGGATTTTCTGGCCGCAGCTTCTCGAGAAAAAAGGTGAGAAAATGAGGGAAAATTTGAAACCTGGCGCAGTGTTAATTTTTCTGAGAGGGAAAAATGAAAAAATGAAAAATAGGTAAAGCGCCATGGATGTCACGTGAGGTTCATTGTGGATTTCTATATGGGATTGTTAAACTAAAAATACCACTTTTGTGACATTTAGAGTTTAAAATTCGGAAAATAAATCAAATAAACTATTCAACAAACATTTAAGTCTCATAACACTTTCTTTTAAATATAAAATTTAGTTATGGAAAAATGTCAGCAACATCAATAATGCATAATCTAACTGGTTATAAGTTTGATGTCCGCATCAACAACTTCAAATATAATAACAAATAGTAAAACATAACGTTCGTCGGTCCATTATTAAAGATTAGAGCAGCGGAATCTAAATATCGCATAAAATAAGAGTCTAAATATCGCATAAAATAAGACAAGAAGAATAGTATCAACGCAATTCTTTAGCTTTGAGCAGCTACTCATTTACAAAAGTATGCAAGAGTAGCCTAAGCAAATATCAACAATCATGTATCTCATTCACATCATTTCAACTGATACAAAAGTATGCAAGAGTAGCCTAAGCAAATATCAACAATCATGTATCTCATTCACATCATTTCAACACAATTCATTCATATTAACCACATAAATATTCTCAACCACCAATATCAACATAATAATTCAATTACATATGCAGACAATAGATGCAATCTACTCAACACCACTGCTCTACATACATGAGGTACCGTGATGGAAAACACATGTTTGTTTTGCTCCTGAATTCCTTCCTTAGAACCAAAGCACATCAATTCGCTACTAACACCTTTGGTAACACTTCAACGATTCTCATATAGGAACAGTTGTTGTTGAATCCACACCATCGGACCAGGGCACATTAATTCGTTACTAACACCTTTAGTAACACTTCACATATTCTCATATGGAATCAATTACTCACTCATGAATCCACACCATCAGACCAAAGCACACCAAAACTGGACTGAAGTTAGCACACCATGATGTATGATTTTTAACAACACGCAATATCACCGTACAATTACCACAATTATGCACAATATTATCCTCAATACACGATAGTTGATTAATTCTGCAATAAATAATAAACAATACTAAAATACATTTGAGAGTGGCCAAACAGTGACATAATCACAACACAACCTCAAAAACTAGAATCGACAACTCGATTACATGCAATTGAGCAAACGACATTCATTATAGCAGCATGATGGACTGCATGTCACCATGGTGACACCCGTCAGCCGCTTACACCACCCCACCCGTCATTCTTATGATGTTTGTCCCATAAAGCTGAGCCTGTGGACCATAATTATCGTTCGTCGGCACCTTTAAATGACGCGACGACCTGGTTGTCATGCGGGTGACAACCGTCACTCTGAACTAGAATGCAAAAATTGTATTTATGCTATGAAATTCAATTCAGAATTATGATTTTTCATTTTCAGCCTTCAAACTATTCAGTAACATTCGGGAAAACAATGTCTAACATCGATATATCATATATCTATCAATTAACATGCATTTTCTTCCATTAATCATAATTTCTATATGTTTTGTTCATCAAAATCACAACACACATACAAACCCCAACTCATACCATCTTCACTAACAAGAACATACAATCTTCATGGTAAATCAATACGCGAAATTTATATAATACAACACATAATTCGTGTTATCATAGAAATCAATTCATATTCATTCATCAAAAGAGAAAAATTAGAAAAAAAAACTAAATGGGATAAGCATTTCCCCTACCCAATCATGCATTCAACACCATATATAAAAACTTAATCTTCCTCAATTAATAATTTCCACAATACCCTCACTTATTCTCCTATTTACCAAAATACCCTTTTGACTCTAATTTTATTTTAATAATAATAATTCTCATTATTCTCTAATATTTTAAATTTTATTTAATTAAATAACTAAAACTATGTTTCACCTATCCATGAACATCATATACGAATACTAATCATCTAAACACCATCCAAATACATATAAAAGTTGATTTAAACAATTAAATCTACGTAAACTCAATCAAATAAATAAATCAGAAAAAAAAGAGTGTTACAATAAGGGACCTCTTCCAACTTAACTAGAGATATTGGATTTGAACTCACTCATAAACACACAGCAATGTTAATTTTTTTAGAGAGAACTTTGTCGTCCAATATGATCCTTTCAAATTCGAAAGATTAATTTTTACAGTTACGCACAGAAGATACTCATTCTCTATAAAAAAAAATCTTAACTTATGGTAGTTTATTTAACAATATGAATTCAAATTCCACCGTTGTAGCCGTAGTAATTATATATATATATATATATATATATATATATATATATATATATATATATATATATATATATATATATATATATATATATATATATATATAATAACCAAAATATAATAAATAAATAAATAATTATATAAGAAAAAAAAGCAACACAAGCAATAATTTATTTTAAAAGTAATGATCTTATATAATTAAGGAATGAGTGAGTATCAAATAAGTGCCCTACATATCTAAGTCAATAGAAAAAGCAAAAGAGAAATGAAGTGCGATTGCAAGTTGGGCATAGGTGATGCATGGCAGTGGCATCCCTACTCTTCATCTTTAACACATGAACTTGCCAAGCTTTTACTATTACTAACACTAATGTTCTTATTATTGTGGTTGTTATTATTATGATCCACTATATCTACTATATGCAATATTGGAGGCATAACTTCCTTGTGGTGTAGCAAAAAAGATGGTAGAGCAACTAATTATCAAGAAAATTAAAGGCTAAACTTTTTTGAAACAAAAAAATTGATGCTTTTATATTATTTTATGTTATAGTGGTTCAAACTAAACCTAACCAATTAAATATGACCTCTATTGATTCATATATTGGTTTTAAGTCATTTAAAATTTACTACAAAAATTTAAATCAAATTATTATAGTTTATTATTATTTATTTTATTTCATTCTATATTACTAGTGTTATTTTAAATAATATATTATGTTCATGTGTTTTTTTATTGTATGTTATATATTTTTTATTATAACTTATTTATTTATTTTACAAGTATAAAAAATCTAGTATTTCAAAAACGTCATATTATTTTTTAGATTTTAAAAATACATTTTCATAAGACTTGAATACATTTTTTTGTCTCTCTATTTTAATTAAAATATTTTTATAGTTTTTATATCTCTTAATTTTGAAACACACTCTTTATATTTAATTGAAAATAAATTTCAGTATTCCTATTTTAAAATTTGCGAATTTAATATCTTATTTTAATAAAAAAAATATTTTATTATAATTGATGCACCTATAAGCAACATCACGTCTCCTCGTCCTATAAACAACTCCATCATGTCTTATAATTCTTAATTTTATAGGTCTACTTGAATTCTTCTTAAAAGTCGGTCTACAACTCTTAAAAATTGATCATCATACTTTTTCTTCAAATGACACTCATTCAGTCCAATAAAAAAATATCCAAATCTTATAAAATCACTTCTTACGACCATCAAAATAAAAATAAAAATTTCTAAAAATTGGTGGAATGGTTGGTAGAGGTTTCAACATTTATATTCATTGTATTTTCATCACATTGCTTCTTTAATTTTGCAACATATACCTCCACAACATTGTATATTTTCTTATTTAATCGCTTTTAATAATCTCTTCCACGCCCTTTCTTTGGTAATACCTACAAAGTGCTTTCTTCTAAGTTTAATCATTAGCTTAAGAACTTTATCATTTGCTCAACTAACTATCTTTTTTCAATCACAATCTTAGATATCAACTTAGAGTTAGCTGATTTGTTGTTTAAAACGCTAACACATGCGTGTGTTTTCACCCAAGTCTTTAATTGATAGGCGTGTCACCCATTTTACTAAAAAGTACTACAACAACAACAAAAACCACGTTTGACCTTAACTCCAGCCTAACTTTATAACTTTCTTTCTTTTTACAAATCTTATCTCTATACAATTCATAACAGACAAATCTCTAACAATATCTTTAAGTTCAACTAATGAGTTAAATTTCATACCTAGTTTAAATTCACAGTCGTTTGTTCAAACAAATATTCTATAATTTTTTTCATATTTAGGAAGTCTTCTAGTGTTAATGTTATATGAGCCCGAGCTTCCCAATTCTTCACTCGTATATTCACCATCTTCATCTCCATAAGACATAGAATCAAAAGAATTCACACTTTGCCTATCCACACAAATTCTTAAACTAAAGCCACACCACTTACAAGTGTTAACAATTTGAGTTTCCAAGGAGACTTTATCTTCAATGCAAATTTGTTGGCTTTTGACTTGAACCTAAATGATTTACCATTTATGTCAACCCTAGAAACATCCGTTGGTTTATCAACTTCAACCAACACAAACCCTTCGTTCTTTTAATTCACTATATCTTATTCATTATCTCTAACCTTAATCTATCTAACTTCATCATCACTACTTTTATTAATTTCTTGTCTAAGATCAACAAAAAAGGGAGTTTACCACCTTCCTTGAATTATCCTTAAGTTTATGCTCAACTCAAATATGTCCATCAACTTTGTTGACAATACAGTTATTTGCCATTTCTTCAACATTAACATCATCATTCATGTGAAAAAACATTCATCAATTTCTTCAATCTCCCTCCACGCCCTAAATCCACTATTATCATATATCCAATATTTTACCAAGTACCTTAAAATATGACAATTCGTCTAAATCTTGCCCTTCCACGATTGTTTCAACACCTTCTTTATAAAAACGAAGCATTCTTGAATAAAATTTCCCTGCGGTAAAATATGACATTGAATATACTCACGTCCACAATAAATAAAATATGCATAACAATTAATTCAACAAAATGGACACTA